AATCAGAAATCAATTAGTTCTGGTGCTAATTAGCTGGTAATGTGGCAATTAGTGTTCCTTTTCCTGCCTTTGGTTCTTGCTCATTGGTGGTATTAGTAAGTATCATTAATCATTTTAGCATCATTCTACTTATTCATAGCTTCTACCATGCTCCTTATGGTATTCTTAAGAGAATAGGTGTACCTCATCCTCATCCTGTCATACCTTTCTTTGGAAATGGATTAGTTGTCTTAAAGCTAGTAAGCAAGTTACATCAATTCAAGAGGCATAAACTATCTTATTATTGCTCTAGGGCTATGTGAAGGTCCTTGAAAAGTGGATTTCTGAGAATGGGAAAGTGTTTGGGTGAACTTGAGCTTCATATGAATGATTGCCACTTTATTCCTGATACTTATTTTGGTAATTGTAGGTATTATGCTGGTACAGCAGTGAATATGGTAGTTGCTGATCTTGACATGATAAAGGAAGTAACAGTCAAAAAGTTTGATAATTTTATCAATGCTCAAGTAAGGCATATAATAGTATACACTGCATTAAGATAACAATTGGTGTATAGAAAGAGCCTTATGCAATGTCCAAAGTGCGTAGAGATAACCACATTGGATCTGGTTTGCTTTTTGAATTGGATGATGATTGGAAGCGTATTCGACGCATTGTAACTCCAACCTTTTCAAGCAAAAAACTAAAAATGGTGAGGTAAACTATATCTGTTTCTATAAATTGGCTTAATACAGATGATGCCTTTAATTGAAAAAAGTTGTAAAACACTGAATACTGTCATGGAAGAAATTAGCAATAAAGGACAGAGTTTCAATATTTTAAAGTACAAAAACAATTTTCATTATTATCAAGTTATTTTATCTTTGACAGATTGTACAACAAGTTCACTTTAGAGGTTATGCTTGCTGTGGCCTTTGGTTCTGAGGTTCATTTGTTGAAAGGTGAAGGAAGTTTGCTTGCTGAAGCGGCTGCTGGACTCTTTTATGATATTGATGAATCAATATTTGTGGGTGAAGAAATTCTGAATTGTAAGCTGTATTATTTATTTGTTAGAATAAAATAATGTGCAGGGCTGTCACCTGAGTAAAGTCCTTCCAAAAATTTGTAAACCTCAGACACATCGGGAGCTTGCAGAAATGATGTACCATTCAATCCTTTAAATACCAGTCAAAATATGTGAGGCTATTGTGGGTTGCCCCAGTTGTTATGATAATGTAATAGTAATATAGCTTGTAAATGCATGTAGTAATTAATTTATTATTTCAATAATAATTATTGTATTTATTTTTAGCTCACTTTCCTCATCTGTCAAAACTTCTCAATGCAATGGCTTCAAAAATTTTACCATTGAGCAATCACATGAAGTATATTAATGAAACATCGTTACAGATTATCAAATCAAGAGAAGGCCAATTAGAAAATACCAGGGAAAAGGTTAGCAATGACATTTCAATTGGGAATATGATAATTTTATGTGTAGTTTAATGATTTTCTTCAATTGTTAATGGATGCCAGAGCACCAGATGATGAGAATGATTCTGATAGTTCAAGTGAATCAAGGAATAAACTAACTAGCAATCAGATTGTAGGGCTTTGCTTTGACTTTATGGCTGCTGGATATGAAACAACTGCCAGCACTCTTGCCTACACCACATATCTGCTAGCACTCAATCCTGATGAACAAGAATGGCTATGTGAAGCTATTGATAACTACTATCAGGAAAATGAAGTTGGATTGTATTAATAATTTATGCCTATTTTATTAATATTTATTAGGATGCTTCATTGTATGATGCTTCACAGAATATTCCTTATCTTGATTGGGTCATTCAGGAGGCACTACGCATGTACCCACCTTCACCTATGTGAGCTATATTATACATATTTCTTATTTTTATTAATAAATATAATTTATAGTACCATTCGAGTATGCAACCAAACCTGTACAATCAATGGTGTTACTTTTCTTAAAGGTTGCAATGTTATACTTCCTATTCAATACCTACACTACTCACCAGAATATTGGGATCAGCCATATGTATTCAAACCAAGCAGGTACTTAAGAATTTAGAGAATTTAAAGTAATGCTTTGTTACTACAGGTTTAGTC